TAGTCAGGCAGGGGAAGGGTTTTGTGGCTCCCGGTGTTTTCTTTTCTGTGGGAAACGGGTCCAAATGGCTCTTTGACTGTTTAAGGTTGCGGACCCCTGAACCAGAGGAACAACTTGCCTTCAGAAGTTACAACAGTTCATTTAGCGACCACTCAAAGTTACAACAAGATTGGGAAAAAAAGTGACTTATGACCAGTAGTGGGATTTTCCCGGCTTAACAATCGGTTCGGTGATCGCGCGCTTGACACGTGCCCGCACCTAACACATGCTACGCGAGTGTGCACAATTTGAACAAATCTTCACTTCTGAGTTTCTTCTAAGGAGTAACACAGATGATTCGGCTCCGCCACGTGAATCAGCTGAGGAGATAAAGGTAGGAAAACAGCACGGGTGGGTGGGTGGCCCATCTGATTGTCAGGCCAACCAGTTCACTCCCAGCCGATTGTCGGAGCTACCAGTTCGGCCGAAGCAGGCCGAACTGGTAGAATCCCACCACTGCTTATGACACTTTTTCACAGTTACAATCTTCGAAGCATCCCCATGCTCACAATTCAGACGTTTGGCAACCAGTTCGTACTTTATGATCGCTGTGTCCCAAAGTCACGTGATCCCCTTTTGCGACCAAGGTCACGTGATCCCCTTTTGCGACCATCACTAAGTCGATGGGGAAGCCAGATTCCCTTCACAACCGGATTCCTGACTTCTCAAGTGCAGTGATTCACTTATATAAAAGGATGTAAAATGGGGCAAAGCTGACTTGACCAATGTGCTCACTTAAGAACAGAAATTTGGGGGTTCACCTGTGGTCATAAGTCAAGGACGACCTGTATTCTGCCTCCAGAATCATTTTTTGAAAAGTAGATTCCGGTCATAGGCCGCTAGAATTGTTGGTAAGAAACGTGAGCTTCTCCATCAAACCCAAGCTGAATATTTTTAGTTCTGCAGAAGAGGATAAAAACACAAGGTTTTATCCTCAGGCCCCATAAACCTGCCAATTTCCCCCCCCCCCCCAAAAAATCTGGTTTTCTTTTCCTCTCTTCAAATGCCATTTCCTTAAATTTGTCTGTGGGCAGAGACACAAAAGCATCTGCTGACTTTAGCAGATGGTTTTAAGTCTTCCGAGATAACAAAGAAGGGGAAAAAAAATAATAAAGGATTTCGTGTCTTTTTTAAATACCATGTTATTTTCAACCAAGTAGATTGTTATTTTAATAATTAAAAAAGAAGAAGAAGAAGAATGAGACTGAACTAAGGAATAGGGAAAAGATTCTGCTTGCAGTTTCTTTGTTCCTTAACAGCCATATTTTTTTTTTAAAAAAAAAATTGATGTGGAAAAAAAAAGGGGGGGAGCCTTAGGACAGGATGGGAAATCAATCTGTTGAACTGCAGAAAAGTTTAGTAGGAAGCGAACAATCAAAACTGTTTTAGAAAACTCTCTTAGGTGGTCCTTGACTGATGACCAGAATTGAGCCCGACATTTCAGTGAGAAATCTGTTAAGTGAGAAATCCATTAAGTGCATTTTGCTCCATTTTACAACCTCTCCTGACGCCGTTGTTAAGCGAATCGCTGAGGTTGATAAGTTAGTAACCCCGTCGTTAAGCGAATCTGGTTTCCCCGTTGACTTTGCTTGTCAATAGGTCGCAAAAGGGGATAGATCACGTGACCCCGGGAAATAGCAACGGTCATAAATATGAATCGGCTGGCAAGCGTCTGAATTTGGATCTCATGACCATGGGGATGGTCATAACTGTGAAAAACGGTCCTAAGTGATATTTTTCAGGCCCATCGTAACTTTGAACGGTCACTAAATGAGCTGTTGCTAAGGCAAGGACCACTGAACTTCGTAACCTTGGATTTAGAAATGATTAGGAATAAAGCTTTTCAGCTTTTAATTATTTTAGAATCTACATTTACACGCTAAGAGTAATAAATGAAGGGAATAGAAAAATATGTAGATATGGAAGAAAAATCCTTTTGTTCGCCATAAAAGTACATTCCCATATTCCTAATGATAACAGGTTTTATATTTTCCAAATATTTGCTCAGTAATCCATGACTGCAGAAAGTTAGCAATGAGCCATATTATTATAGTATATTCTATTTTGGCTTAGGGTTTTTGTGTGAATCCAATGGGTACCGTTCGTTTCGTACTACCTCACGCAAATCCAGGTAGATTTTATTCAATTACCTATACTTAATCCAACCGCAGCTTAAAACAGCGCAAGAATTGCACGTCCCATCTATTGTTCAGTGTTGAAAATCAGCAAAACTTCCCTCCTTGCAAAATAAGGATTAAGGACAAGGCACTGGGTATTTCCAATACAAAACAGAATTTTGCAAAATGGAAAATGGGGTTAAATACTGCTCATAGCGCGAAGGGATTATAAAGCGAAAATGCGATGTACAAATGGGGCAGGGGTGGGTTCTAACTGGCTTTACTACCGGTTCTCTTTGTGCGCGCGCTTTGCGCGCAATCTCCTCTTTGGTTGCGTGCTTTGCGCAAGCGCGTTGCGAATCTGCCCAGCTGAGGTGCGGCAATCCGCTCTGCCGCACCTCTCAGCTGGGCGAAAAAAGAAGAAATATAAAGTCGGAATAACGCGGGGGCGGGCGGGAGGACCCAGCTCCCGAAGAAAGAGAACCGGTTCGGTGACGTAATAGCATCACCGCTACCGGCTCAGCCGAACCGGGCCGAACCAGGAGAAACCCATCACTGAAATGGGGGAAAGTCTTGTGTGTGTGTGTGTGTGTGTGTGTGGTATGAATGCAAAAACTGAAAGAAATTGTTATTCATTAGCAGAACAATGACTGTCCCAAATATGCCTAGAGTAATCTGCTTTGGGCTGGCATAACATTCTTTCCAAAACAAAAATGAAAATCCTGATTAAGTGCCAATGTCTACACCCATGCAAATTCTTCAGAAAAAAAAAATTGCCAGTTGTGTAATTGTAATCCATTATAAAATGCAACTTTCCAGCTTTTTCCTGTAATATTCCGCTTGGAAAGAGATTTAACTGATTCATTGACTGATGTAATCTTGGACTGACACACACAAAAACACAAGGCAACACAACAAACAACACTGCCCAAGATCTCTGATTCATAGGCAATATACAAGTAGTTCCCGAATTACAACAGTTTGTTTAGTGACCGATCAAAGTTACGGCGGAGCTGAACAAAATGGACTTGTGACTGTTTTTCACACTTACAACCGTTGCGACATCGGAAAGCACCAAGGACCCCCCAAATGCAGCATGACGACCAAAACGGGAGTAGCTGTTAGGTATTTCCGTCGCAATTTTTCCCCTCCCACCAAATTCCTACACATCATCATCTTCTTTTAACGACCCCATAATCCCTTGCGGGGGTGGAATCTGGACAACTGAACGGAGCTAGCAGAGTGTTTGAATGGCCAGATGCCTTTCCTGTCACCAATGCGGAGTTTTGTTCAGCAGATATAATTCTCATCGTGGTCAGAGAGAGAAATATCTGCCTCTACCTAGGATCGAACTCACAGCCTCCTGATTGTGAGGGTCAGAGCTCCGCCTCTAGGCCACCGCACCACTCCACCAAATTCCGACACATTCTTCTACCAAATCAAAGCTCAGAAATAAGCAATTTAATACATCTCCGATTTCCGGGATCCGTTTTTATTATTAACACAAAATTTTATCACCGGTTTGCCGCGCACCGAAAATGTGTGCGCCGGCCTTCCGTACATTTGCCCAGCCTTCAGCACATTCGCTTTGCTCGCACGCATGGCTCGCACGCATGCGCGCGGCTTAGAAAACGTGGCTAAAGAGGACGGCATAGCGCCGGGACGGGTCCACCCACAGGTCGACACTACCGGTTCGCCTGAACTGATCCGAACCGGCTGAATACCAGCACTGTTTCTGGGATTTTCTTTGAAAGTGGTAGTGAGAACTGGAAGAAGACTCCCAGCTTTTGTCCAAAGGCTGTTCTTTCTTTGTAGGTATCAAATATTTCAAAGGCATAAACCAACATTTTAGCCACTTACTGGGAATGTTAATCCAGAGCCGAACCGAGACAGGAGCCAAGGGGCGTGCAGTTCAACCTTTCAGTTTTGCCTCTGCTATTTCCTACTATTATTCCCAACTATTATTCCTACTCTCTACACCCAGGGCTGTAAATGTCTCAATTCCCACCGGAGTAGTGTAAGGAACTGAAGTCATGCCATAAACATCTCTCCATCCGTCAAAGAAAACTTGATAAGCCCCAAACAACAACAAATTCCTTCTCTCCGAGACTATTTCAAAGTGAGGAATTAAAACAAAAAACACCGGCCCGAAGACAAATCCTTCTGTGTCATTCACGTCTCGGGACTTCAAAGTTTGAGTAAAAGTGGTTGCTTTTGCCACGGAGTTGAACTTCAATTCAGATCTTTCTCGGCTGTGACCGTTTTTGAATAAGTTCAAATTCCGCCTCCACCCCCCTGTGCATCTTGCTTCCTTCTTCACCCTCTTTGTCAATTTTAAGGTTAATTTTAATAAAAGCCAACACAACATATGTGCACACTTCAAATCCAAGAATGCACACTAAGGCAGAAGCTTGTCCACCCCAAGGATAAGATACCCAGAGACAAACGGAGCAACGTGGTATATGCAGTACAATACAGTGAGCGATGTGCAGATCTGCAGATTGGGGAAACAAAACAACCGCTTCATAACCACATGGCGCAACATAAGAGAACAAACCCGTCAGGACACAATTCAGCAGTCCACCTGCATTTGAAAGACACAGACCACTCTTTTGAAGACAGCCAAGTCCTCATTTTGGACAGAGAGGAGCACTGGTTTTAAAGAGGGGTCAAAGAGGCCATTAATGTCAAAATTGAACGACAACACTAATTGGATATTTTCTCAACAGGGCTGCCCAGGTTTAGCAGAATGTGTTCCAGTGCTGCCTTTTTAGAACACATTTCTGGAAAAACACAACACAGAAGTAACACGACAACTGAAGGATCTCACTTACAGATACTCACCAGTCCTGCAATGGGAGTTGGCGATCTGTTGATCTTTGCAACCAATCCGGGCAATATGGAATTCAACAACCTGTCACAAAGAAAGGAGGGTGGCAACATTATCATCAGTCACACACATGGATTAGAAATGGTTTCCTCTAAGCACACCACACCTCCCTCCCCAAGCCTCAAAGCTATTGACTTGGGACAACAACAACAACAAAAAGAAAAGGTTTACAAAAGCTGACAAACACAATTGTGCGAGACAAGATCAGTATCTACAAAGATCTTGAGAACTTGGGCTTCCAATGTCTCCTGAACTGGAAGCGGGATGAGTAGAAGGCATGGGTCCAACTTGGGACAACCTACACAACGCCCACCTCTGGCCAAACGAGACAATTGCACTGGGACAGTGTAGCTCAACAATGAATCAACCAAGTTTCATGATACAAATAAGCCAATTATTCATATCGTGTATGACTCTCTATTGAGATGTTAGTAATTGTCTTATGAAGATTGGGATTGAGGATGTCTAGTCTAATGAAAAGGGGTGACATGATAGCAGTCTTCCAATATTATTTGAGGGGCTCCCACAAAGAAGAGGGGGTCAACTTGTTCTCCAAAGCACCAGAAGGCAAGGCAAGAAGCGGGCCTGGTGGCTCAGCAGACTGATAGCATTGTGGTTAACACCAGCTGCCTGCAATTATTGTAAGTTCGAATCTCACCAGGCTCAAGGTTGACTCAGCCTTCCATCCTTTCTAAGGTAGGTAAATTGTGGACCCGGTTTGTGGGGGCAATAAGCTGACTTTGTACAAATATACAAAAGTATGAAGGCTTTTGCTTAAAGCATTCTAAGCCGCCCTGAGTCTCCGGAGAAGGGCGGCATATAAATCAAATTTAAAAAATAAAAATAAAAATAAATAAAAATGAAAATAAAAAAGAAGCAACGGATGGAAACCCATCAAGGAGAGATCCAGCCTAGAGCTAAAGATCAAACTTACAAAAAAAAATAAAAAAAAATACAAGAAATAGAGGAAACAGAATATTATATAGTGTGGGAAAAATGGTATGAATGGTTAGAGGACAGAGATAAAAGGCAAGGAAAGAGCAAATGAGGGTGATATAGGAATGGAAATGTAATAACAAATAAGAGGAAACAGAAAAGATGCAGATTGTAGAAACGAAATTGTGTACACTGTTATTTATAGGTATATATGTAAATAAATCAATATTAGAATTATAGGTATAAAGGATAAATTGAAATAAGGGAGAAAAAATGGATAAGTAAGAAATGTCTACCGATGCGAAATTGTTGAAAAGAAAAAACTGTAAAAGATTATTTTTTGTTTTCAAACAAAAAAACAAAATTGTTTAATAAAAATTATTTTTTTAAAAAAAATTAATAATAAATAAATAAACCCAACATACCATACCGCTCCTTTAAATTTCTTCTGGCTGGAAAGCCAGATGTTTCCTATCTATGAACTTTGATTTTTTTTTCTTTTTACAAAATGATAGCTCTACCATTGATGAACAAAATAGTCTCCGAATGTCGGTCTGAAATTTATCTTCTCTCTGAAGGATGGTTGCTCCACATCAAAGCTTAACCAGATAACAGCCATTCCACAGTTTGAGTTTCTTTAGTCTGTCTACTAATATTTGCTTCTAGCCATTTATAAGAGGATTGTTGTTTTGCAACCATGGTATTTAACCGGGGGAAAGAAAAGAAAATCTTTGCAAGCTAACGCAGCTGTTTTGGTACGGGGTGATGAAGCTACTTCTAGAAGATGCATTCTGGGTCACTTACACTTAAGTTCACCACAATAATGTACACTTAAGGTTACTCCTAAGCGGGACACGGTGGCTCAGTGGCTAAGATGCTGAGCTTGTCGATCGAAAGGTCGGCGGTTCAGCGGTTCGAATCCCTAGTGCCGCGTAACCGAGTGAGCTCCTGTGACTTGTCCCAGCCTCTGCCAACCTAGCAGTATGAAAGCACGTAAAAAAAAAAATGCAAGTAGAAAAATAGGGGCCACCTTTGGTGGGAAGGTGACAGCGTTCCATGCGTCTTTGGAGTTTAGTCATGCCGGCCACATGACCATGGAGACGTCTTCGGACAGCGCTGGCTCTTCGGCTTTGAAACGGAGATGAGCACCGTCCCCTAGAGTCGGGAACGGCTAGCACATATGTGCGAGGGGAATCTTTACCTTTTTAAGGTTACTCGTACAAGGAGCACTGGGGAAAATGTATGTCAAGGTTTATCAGCCAAATCTGATCAGTGACCTCACTTGCCACTGAGGTTGTATAGTTATCCAACTCCAAAGCTGGATTAAGAAGGAGTTCAATGTTGTAAATCTTGTCCTGAAGTCCAAGCGTGACCCCATCAATCTCAGAGGTGTCTCCAGCTCTAGAAGGCTGTTGTGACTCCGACTGCTGGTGTGTGTGTGTGAGACAGGGACAGAACAAAGGCCACTCTTGGAAACTTATATCCAGTCCTATATAATCTGTTAGTAATGTTGATGGTATATGCAGTACAATATGTAGTGAGCCATATGCAGATCTGTACATTGGGGAAACAAAACAACCACTTCACAAACACATGGCACAACATAGGAGGGTTGATTTCTTGCCATCAGGACAAGATTCAGCGGTCCATCTGCATTTAAAAGACAAAGACCACTCTTTTGAAGATAGCAAAGTCCACATTTTAGACAGAGAGGACCGCTGGTTAGAAAGAGGGGTCAAAGAGACCATCTATTGTCAAAATTGAACAGCCCTCTCTCAACAAAGGGGGAGGGATACAACATCATCTAGCTCCAGTCTACAGCACAGTCCTTGTTAGTAATGTAATGGCTGTGAGAGTTAGACCATAAGGACAACTGAGTGCCAAAGAATTGATGCCTTCGAATTGTGGATGCTGGAAGAAGACTCTTGAGAGTCCCTTCAATTGCAAGGAGATCCAATCAGTAGATCCTACAAGAAATCAACCCTGCCTGTCCTTTGGAAGGACAGATCTTGAACCTGAAGCTCAAGTACTTTGGCCACCAAATGAGAAGAGAGGACTCGTTGGAGAAGACCCTGATGTTGGGGAAGATGGAAGGCAGGAGGAGGAAGGGGACGGCCGAGGGATGAGATGGTTAGATAGCCTCATCAACGCAATAATCTTGAATTTGGGAAAACAGCAGGAGAAAGGGGAAGACGTGCTATGTCCATGGGGTCGGAAAGAGATGGCTATGATTTAGCGACTGAGCGCAAAAATATAATCTGGAAAATGAGAGCCGAGTAAAGAATATCTGAGATCTTTGGCAACCTGTTGAAAGGTTTTGTTTCACTTCAGCAGACGTTTAACTATTTAAATAAATCAACCAAAGCCTTTCCCAGCCTCCTCTCAGTACTCAAATGATGAATTATTTGGAACCACAAATGGCTCGCAACGCTCAACTTGTATTGTTGGCAAACATCATGTCTACATGCTCTTTTTTCAAAAGAGATTGTAAGTGAAATAAGATGAAGACATATGGCAGCTAGCGATGGATGAAAAAGAATAAGGCGGTTTGAATTAATCTAGCTTCCTATAGCAAAAGCTAAATAATGGGGAAATGTCTTTTTTTTTCCACCCCAGGATTAGTTTTAAAAAAAAATGCAACTTCCAATATTCGATCTGGAAGAAATCTTTGCAGTGAATGCTGGACATACAATAGTCGCGTCGAACTGTTGAGGCACATCAGCCATAGTGCCAAAGGTTTATTTATTTATTTAAAAGGTTTGCATGGTTGCCCCTCCAAAAAAACACAACTCCAGGTAGCTCCCAACCACCATTAACGATGGGAGAACAATTAAAATGCCAAGAGCACAACCCTAATGTTTCAGTCATCCTCCTTGAATAGAATCATCTACAAGGTTGACCCAAAGGTACTTTTTCCAAGAGGCAACTGGAATTTCTTGTTTTTCTTTGAAGGGGTTTCCCTTCTCATCCAAGAAGCTTCTTCAGCTCTGACCGGATGGTGGGGAATGGATGGATTGATAGTCCTTGCAGACAGCTGGTCATTTGCATCCTTTTTTAGAGAGTCGTTGAGGACACTTGGAGGATTGTCTGTGTCCTCAGGGTCACCTGAGTAGCGCAAATGGGTGTGGAGCCTTCTTCTTGGAATTGCTGAAAGGACTGTATTGTAGACTGGAGATAGATAATCCCTCCCCCTCTGTTGAGAGAGGGCTCTTCAATTTTCAAGTTCAATAGTGGGAGATACGGACAGTGGTATGTGATTTTCCTCAGCTCTGTGTGTGTGTATCTATGTATGTGTACCTTATGATTCTTGACGAACGTATCTTTGCTTTTATGTACTCCGAGAGCGTATGCACCAAAGACAAATTCCTTGTGTGTCCAATCACACTTGGCCAATAAAGAACTGTTCTGTTCTGTTCTGTTCTGTTCTGTTCTGTTCTGTTCTAGACCAGACCAGACCAGACCTCCAAGGTCCTTTCCAATTCTGTTATTCTTAAATCTGGGAATATAGAATTTCATATCCAGTCCTAGACAATCTGTAGAATAAGAGCCAAGTAAAACATATCCACCTCACCTTATCCTAACACTTGGGGAAAAAGCCAGATCTCCTTAGGTCAGAAATGACTTCTGAACTATATTGAAAATCTGTTTACATACCAATAGACTCGATCTCTTGTGCTAAAATATATTCCCTGTTTTTTCCTCGCTTTCCGTACGACTGTCCTATGAAGAGCAACAATTCTTCAGACGAGGGCAACGGGCTAGAGTAGGAAGCGACTGTTGAGAAATCACTTGTGTAAGGCCAGTGATGGCGAACCTTTTCGGCACCAAGTGCCCAAACCAGAACACGTGTGCATGCTTGTACAGGCGCCAGAGCACCGGAAACCCAAAGCCCAGCTGGCCAGTGCACACATGCCTGGTTTTTGGGCTATTTTCAGGCCATTTTTTTGGCCATTTTTGGGCTGTTTTCAGGTTGTTTTAAGGCCTATTTTCTGGCTGATTTCAGGCTAGTTTTGGGGCCATTTTGGGGCCATTTCCTGGCTGTTTTCAGGCTGTTTTCAGGGCTATTTTCAGGACGTTTTTTGGACTGT